GTCATGTTCGGGCAATTAAATCGGAGGGGCTTTGGGGGGACCCTCCTGGTTAGGGAGACCCCCCTCTCTCTCCCCTCCCTCCTCCTCCTCCTCCTCCTCCTCCTCCTCCTCTTCTTCTTCTTCTTCTTTCTCTCTCTCTCTCTCTCTCTCTCTCTCGCAGCAACAGACGAGGAATCTTCATCAAACATATCGAGATCTCTTTGCTCCTCCCAGGAGCCGGGAAGCCTTGTGCCGTCTGAACCCTGCCTTCTTCCCACATATCACACGGCACAGTCACACGTACACGTACCCAGACCGTAGCCAAGCACATTTGTGGAAACTTGGTTCTATCATATATATTCTTATTGATTTCAGAGAGGAAGGGAGAGGGAGAGAGAGAGAAACATCCATGACGAGAGAGAATCATGGACCGGCTGCCTCCTGCACGCCCCACACTGGGGATCGAGCCTGCAACCCGGGCCTGTGCCCTGACCGGGAATCGAACCGTGACCTCCCGGTTCACAGGTCGACGCTCACCACTGAGCCACGCCGGCCGCGCAGTACTGGCTATTTTTGATGCCACAAAAGTTGAACTTCCAAACAGAACACAGTAGTCACACAGGCACTGATTAAATTTACTACAAACAATACTCCGTGTTTCTCTCTCCCTCCCCCTCTCCCTTCCTGTCTGAAATCAATAAAAATATATCAAAAGTCAATAAGGAAAACAAAAGAACCCCCCCCTCCGACAACCATTCATTCATTCCGCAGCCGCGTCTCCACGGAGTGCAGATCGCCTACAAACGCACGCGGGGTGCTGCCTCTGCTCTAAAAGGAGTGACAGGGAGCCAGGCCCAGACTCGCTGGGAGCCCCGAGGGTCCGGGGTCCGGGCAGCGAGGAAGGAGGCGTTTCGGGGTCTCCCTCCCCGGCCAGGAGCAGGGTGGGGGGGGTGGACGCCGGCCTGAGTTATGGCCCCGCGTCGATCCGCCGCCCACCTGAAGCCACCGGGTTGCTAAGGCGGCAATAAAGCTCTTTGCATCAGGCGGCCACGCACATCCACATTTTAATGAACTGTTTTCACATGGGTCATTGGGCATCTCCGGGCTCCTGCAATACAAATCACCATCACCCCCCTCCCCTGCCAGCCCGCTCCCCTCGCCTGTACTTTCTCGGTTTTCAAATGCAAAGGGTACCCAGGCCAGGGAGGTTCCTCACAGACCTGCCTGGTGGAGCCGGGAAAGTCTCCGTCCCCGGACCGTCTCTCCGAAGGGCGGGGACCTCGGACAAGGTCAACCTCAAGTTTCCAAACCCCAGGCGAAGGCGGTCGTGACAGTCAGGGACACGCCTGAAAAGTAAGCCAGGAGGTCACGGTTCGATTCCTGGTCGGGGCACACGCCCGGGTTTCGGGCTCCATCCCCAGTGTGGAGCGTGCAGGAGGCAGACGGTCCATGATTCTCTCTCATCATGGATGTTCCTCTCTCCCTCTCCCTTCCTCTCTGAAATCCATAAAAACATATGTAAGCCCTGACAGGTTTGGCTCAGTGGATAGAGCGTCGGCCTGCGGACTGAAGGGTCCCGGGTTCGATTCCGGTCAAGGGCCCTTGGTTGCCACATCCCCAGTAGGGGGTGTGCAGGAGGCAGCTGATCGATGTTTCTCTCTCATCAATGTTTCTAACTCTCTATCCCTCTTCTTTCCTCTCTGTAAAAAAATCAATAAAACATATTTCAAAAAAATTAAAAATTTAAAAAAAACATATTTAAAAAATACTACTAATAATAAGCCCCTCTGAGCCGGTGCCCCGCGTTGCCATGGTTTTAGGCGATGAATGACAGCGTTTGCGGAAGGACCGAGTGCCCGAATCACCATGAATCAGGGCCGGGGTCCCCTGCCGGCCGGCCTGCCACTTCTCTGAGTGACCCGAAGGCTGGCATGAATTATTGAGCCCGGTTCCGAGGCCGCAGACGTCTCCGCGGAATAATTAAGCATCATTACTGACAAACATGCGCGCGCCCACGCCCACCCTTAAAGTGACACTAAATTATACAGCGCGGGGTCCGTCTTCCGAGAGCCCGATGGCACCGCGTGTCGTTTTACGATGAGCGATCGGCCCCTGACACCTCATTTAATAACGGATGCAAATGAGAAATGAATACTTAACAAGCCGTGCGGCGTTTTATGGCCTCGCACGCTCTCGGGCCAGGGGGAGGCCTGCCTGACGCGCCCCCCTGTCCCCCCCCCCCCCCCGACGGTGTGGTCCCCCTGTCGCTGGCCTTTGAGATAAATTAACGTGTCATCCCTTTAAAATCCAGGGCAACAGGTGGCATCCAACGTGCGACGGTTCGCGGCCCAACCAACCGTGTTCTAATCCAATAATATTTATGGAGGCGTTGGACTCGGCGAATCATTCCGGGGGGGCCGAGATTTGGGAATATTTGTTTTCCGAGTGGAGTGGAGGATGGAGATGCTCCCCGTGGCCCCATAAAGATGGTATATGGCGTCCATATAACCCGAGTATTAAAAAGATAATGAATTTGCTATTCATGAGCCATTAAGTTGTACCTCCTCCCCCTCCCCCACCCCGAAATAAATTGTATATCATTACACGCCTATCAATACACCCGCCAAACCCCACCACCTTCCCCGAGATGTACGTGCAAGCCACATTTGGAGATGCGCAGAGATAAATCAGCATTTTAAAAACATATATTATTATTATTCTTTTAGTCCTCTCCCGAGGATATTTTTTCCATTGATTTTTAGGGAGAGTGGAAGGGAGAGGGAGAGACAGAGAGAAACACTGCTGTGAGAGAGACACATCGATTGGTTGCCTCCCACATGTCCCCGACCAGGGCCGGGAGCCCGCAACCCAGGCTTGTGCCCTTGACCTGAATCGAACCCGGGACCCTTCAGTCCGCAGGCCGACGCTCTAACCAATGAGCCAAACTGGCCAGGGCTAGCATGATTTTTTAATTCTGGAAACTTTTGTTTGTTTTGAACACAAGGTATGAAATGGTGCTTCCCCCTCCCCGCCCCCTCCTTTAAGTTCTCCTGGGGTTTGACATTCAATATCTATTCTCCGACTGGCAATCGATCCATACAAGGGACCAAAAGAGAGAGAATTCCAGCCCGGCCGGCGTGGCTCAGTGGTTGAGCCTCAACCTATGAACCAGGAGGTAACGGTTCGATTCCCGGTCAGGGCACATGCTGGGTTGTGGGCTCCATCCCCAGTGTGGGGCGTGCAGGAGGCCGCCGATCCACGATTCTCTCTCATCATGGATGTTTCTCTCTCTCTCTCTCTCTCTCCCCTCTCCTCTCTGAGATCAATAAAAAATCTATTCTAAAAAAATAACACCCAGCGACTCCGAGTGGGTGGAGGAGAGAATCCACACGTAGACTCTTTGGGTTTCCTTCAGGAAGGACCCCGAGTTTCAGACGGACACCCGGTCCCTCGGCCCATCAGCCCAGCGCCGCCCGCCGGCCACTGGAGGAGGCCGCCCTGAGCTGTCTCCGCGGGGACAGAACCGATTCCCAGAGGCGCCTGGAGACAAAGAGGCCGCCTCCCCGGGAGCCGGGACCAGCGGCCAGGAGAGCATCCCTCCAGAGGCCGGCGAGTGATGGCTACAGCCCCGAGCCTCCTCCTTCCTCCTTCCTCCTTCCTCCTTCCCGTGGGCCCCGCTGCCACGATTCACAGACCCCAGCCGTGGCCACGAGCCGGCCCCGCTCGAGGAAATCCAATTGAGAGTCACCCGAGGGGAACCGCACGCACAGATGTCCCAGCCTCGGTGAGCGCACGCGGCACCTGAACGGGGAGTGTGTGTGTGTGTGTGTGTGTGTGTGTGTGTGTGTGTGTGTGTTGGTGCCTCTGGGGCTCAATCGGCCATTTCCCCTCTCCCCTCGACACAGACACCGCCGAGGTCAATCAGGCCGTCCACGACTCGCTCGGTCCAATCCCAGCCCCTTGGTTCCGATAAGATGTCAGAAGCGTGGCTGCGAAGGGAGGTCAGGGGAGCGATGGCTCCACGGGGTTTTATTAAAGCGTTTCCACCTCATCGCAGGCTCTGTCAACGCCGGTCTCGTCGTCCTTGGAAACTACTTCCAACAATCAAGCTGCCCCTCTTACGTTCGAGCAGGAGTGACGATCGGAGGGGATGCCACCACTTTGGTGAAATATCACAAAGAGCCGGGCCGGCGCGGCTCAGGGGTTGTGCATCGACATGTGGACCCATGAACCAGGAGGTCACGGTTCGATTCCCGGTCAGGGCACAGGCCTGGGTTGCAGGCTCCATCCCCAGTGTGGGGCGTGCAGGAGGCAGCCGATCCACGATTCTCTCTCATCATGGATGTTTCTATCTCTCCCGCCCTCTCCCTTCCTCTCTGAAAGCAATAAATCAATTTTTAAAAATTAAAAAGAGCTGTATTTTCTGCCCTGGCTGGTGTGGCTCAGTGATTAGCGCGTCGGCCTGCACACCAGAGGGTCTTGGGTTCGATTTCTGGTCAAGGGCAAGTACCTGGGTTGCAGTTTCAATCCCCGGCCCCAGTTGGAGTGGATACAGGAGGCAACTGATTGATGTCTCTCTCTCTCTCTCCTCTTCCCCTCTCTCCCCACCCCTTCCACCCTCCCTAAAAAAATCAATGGAAAAAATATCCTCCCGTGAGGATTAACAACAACAAAAAGAGTTGTATTTTAGTCTTATTTTTAAAAATATATTTGTATGGATTTCGGAGAGGAAGGGAGAGAGAGAAAGAGAGAAACATCAGCGACGAGAGAGAATCATGGATCGGCTGCCAGGCATGGGCCCAGACCGGGAATCGAACCGGGACCTCCTGGTTCATAGGTCGACCCTCGACCACTGAGCCCCGCCAGCCGGCCGGGCGGGGCTGTAGTGTTTGAAAGCACCTCAAAGGCGGCACCTGGAGAAGGTGACAGGAGACAAGGACTTGGCGAGGGAACAGGGGAGCATGT